AGTACTTGACTTATTTGCAATATTTATTTAATTTTTTTTTTTAAGTTCTATCTATTAAAATCAATAATATTAAAAACTAAAAAGTTTTGCCTATAGAATCTTATTGCTCTGTAAGCAACAATTTGTACTCTTTTATTTTTCACAGATTGATTTTTGTTTTGATGATTAATATTTATATAATGTACACATTATTTCTAATTTTGTTTTCTAATTATTCAATAAAATAATTTTAATTATAGCACGTGCGCTTTAATTTTGAGTTCATTTTTCTGTTTCGCATTGCATCTATTAATTTTACATACGTATTTTTAAGAGAAATCCATAAAAAATCTGCATGTATATGAAACTAGTCAGATAAATATTATTATTATTATTATCATTTCACTGTATCATAAATTCTATCTTTCCATTGGATAATTCACTACTTAATAATTCAACTACTATTCTGTTTGAACATAGTCCAGTTACATGTAATGTCTTAATATATTACATTAGGTCTACACAATTTTATATTTTCAGTAGAATGCACAGTTCATCAATTTAAAAAATAAACAAATTTCTCGACATTTTTAATTGCATAATAATAAATTAGTAATTCTATGGAAACAAAATTTGTCAATAAGATATTTAAGAAAAATATACAATTGAAATAGATAGCCTGTAAATATATTGATAAAATTTTAAAATATATTTTAAAAGTTACTAACCTTATACAATAAACAATGATTACCAGCCTTTAATATAATAAAACTTAAAGTTAAAGAGGATCTAAAGAAATTTTTTTTTAATTGATATTTTTCTTCATAATAATAGTTACAAATATTACGCATAAATTTACTAATTTTTTTCTATTACATACTATGAAAAATCTGTCACTTATTGGAGTTAAAAAAAAACCCAAAATAACACATCATTTTTTAAATAAATACGAAAAAATATTGAAAGATAAAATAGGAAAAAATACAAAAAGAATATGGATTTAAATTACATAATTCATTTGTTAGATTAATAAATAAATCATATCAAAAGTCAGTTAATAAATCATAAAATATATTCATAATAATAATAATTAATTGTAAACATTTTATTTATATATTTCACACTCAAAATAATAATACATATAATTTAAATTTTCTGATGAACAAAAATTTATTATTCTATTATTAATTTACTAGATATAGTAAATTATATACAAATATACTAGATAATTGTTACAATCAATTAATTAAATATAGATATATTATATAAAAATGGTTAAATTAATTTAATTAAATATTTATTTTTTACAAAATACATTCAAAATAAAAAACAAATTCTCTTTAAAAAAGACACATTTTAGTAAATGTTTTAGGGTCAAAAATTCAATTTTTTCAATAATAATAACCACAAAACAAACTAATTAATTAAATTTAAATTGACACATTTTAAATTAAAGTGATGGGGTAAACTCCAATTTACAACATGAAAATTTAATTATTATTTTTATTTAAATTAATTATTTTTGTTGGTTAAGTATTTCTAAATGTATATCAAAAATAAATGTTACATTAATTGTTATGGTTACCAAATATGAAACTATACAATGTTTTAGCATGAAAACTTTAAATGATAATTCATTTATCAAAATACAACCAAACAGCTAACTATACATGTAATTTTTCTTTTAATAATTTTTTAAACAATGAATAAAATTGTTTAAATAAAACAACAAAATATTATATTAAATAAAAATGTATTCAGACTAATTTTTTCAACAATTTTTATAATGCAATATTCAGAATTAAACTTATAATATTTTATAAAATATTCAAACTTATTTGCTAAAATTAGTTATTTTGGTAAATTAGTTTTGGAAACATCAATTGAGTAATTAGTAGATTGGAAACATGTTTTGAACTAATCATTATAAGTTTATTATCACAGTATTTCATTTGAATTTCAATGTCATAAGCAATTGAAGTTAAAATATTTCTAGTATAACTTAAGTATGCACCAACCAAAAGTTTACTTAAATTAAATATATCAACAAGTTGCTTGTAAATCTTTATTTCTTCTTTGCACTATAATAATTATATTTCAGTCTCTTATAAAAAGGAATTTTTTCACATAAATTAAAATTTCTAAGAATGCTTACTTATTAATATTAGAATTGATTTCAGTGTATTTTACCAAAAACATAACATTTCATTATGTAGAAGTTGTATTTTTGTAGTTTGGTTAAAACTTATAATACAAGAAATATGAAAGTTGTTATTATAAAATAATATAACGATAGTTTGAAATATGTTTGAATCTCGTCGCAGCGATGTTCGTAACTCGTTTTTCGGGATAGGCGAGATAGGGCGCTGATCGTTGAGGCGCGTTACGTAACGTCGGTGCCGCCAGATATTGCACCATCAACCAATTTCTAACTAGTGTCCACACTACCACCAACATAGTTAAGGGGCGGGGCATACTTTCTTTCCATCGTGATTTATGTTGGTAGTAGAAGAACAATTTTGCTCGTTTTTTCTTTTTTAAATTTTCAGTTGTTCAAAAAAACTATGAACTCAAATTTGCCAAAAATAATGTTCTTTTTTATCAACGGTAAAATACTATTAATAATAAAATATTAATTTAATATTTAATATTATACCTTAAAATTATACACTAAGTAAAAATTTGCATGGAAGGGTTCCTTATGATATAGATTTTAATTATTGTCAGTTATTATCTATACTTGTCCCAACTATGACACATCCATACTATCCCTCGACCCCGCCGTGTCACCGTTTTTAATTTCATTAGTGTAAAAACAACTTTGAGAATTATGAGATTTAATTATAAACAATAGGTAATAACGATAAATATTATTTTAAGTTATTATGTTAACATTATTTTAGAACAGCTTCGTCTTAATTTATTTTCTTAATAATACCTATATATATATATATATATGACGTATGTCGGATACGTAATATAAATAAAATAATGTATCACAGTGTTTCTTCTTTTTTTTATTTCTTTGTAAGCGGTACAATGTAAGAAAACTGTGGGTGTGCGTAATATTAAGAGTTTTCACGGGTAGAACAATAAATTTTCTCACATATACAAGCACAATACACGCTATTTCTGAGCTCTTATATTTTTCCCTTAAACCCTTCTTTTCCCACAACTTAAGTAAAATAATCTCAATAGGTGAATTTAAATGAGATAAATAACATTGGCGTGAGGTGTTAAACGTAAATAGAAATAACTTATAGATTTGTCTTACATACAGATATTCCCGGATGACTACATTTAAAAAACGGTGTTTTTATTAGACTTATCGAAAATAAAATTCTGGAAAAACTTATAAACGTTATAAAATAAACGATAACGCCAAAAAAAAAAATTATTTCTCATAATGTTTTTATTACGATTGAAATCGTAAATCGTGAAACTATATTTTAAATATCGAGTCCATAAAATAAAAAAATATCTTCTAAAAAATGAGTTTAATAATATTCTTAAATATTTTATTAAAGTTACATTATAATTTTATTATTATCTAATTACCCAAGTAATACAAATAAAAAAATTATATAAAAAATGAATTATGAACTTAAATTAATTGCATACATAATTTACAATATATCAACTCGTAATTTTAAAAAACTAAACAAAGTATTAAATCTTTAATAGGTTTTGTTGAAATAATTTTTATTATATTGAAATTCTTACAATCTAAAATTTGAACAAATCATAACAACATAGTAAAACTAATATATTGGAAACTGACTATTCTAAATTTTCTTAAGGTATACATTCTCAATATCGTTGATAAAAGTTATTTTTCTTCTTTTGGTTTGACTTGTTGATTTAGTCCACTGATTTAGTAGCCTAAGTTTATGTCAGATAAATTCTAGCACATATCACTGGACACTATTTGATATGTACAATCGAATCATATGTATGACATTGATGTGAACGACGCGTGTTATAAAATTTACTCAAACTGTAATGAGAATTAATTTTTCTTTTAGTTCTAAAATAATATTAATTGTTATTTAAATTAACTCTCTGTATTTTAGATTTAATTCATAATATCCATGTATATTCTTATTGTGTATAATTTGACATCATTAAAGAAAAAGGAAAATANCAATAATATAATTAACTCAGTGAAAACTGCAACACCTAAGGCTGCAGTAGAAAGAATACGAGAGATCACCTACCCAATAGAAATCAGAGAGTTGGTACAACAAAAGAGAAAAGCTAGGAGAACGTGGCATAGAACGAGAGATCCTACTGACAAAAAAAAATGGAACCACATCAGTCGGTTACTCCACAACAAAATAAAAGAAATGAAAAACGAAACTTTTAAAACTTACTTGAGCGAACTTTCTGNAAAAAAAAGTGGAACCACATCAGTCGGTTACTCCACAACAAAATAAAAGAAATGAAAAACGAAACTTTTAAAACTTACTTGAGCGAACTTTCTGCAACCCAAGATACTGACTACTCTCTGTGGAAAGCTACTAAACGACTAAAAAGGCCTTTAAAACACGTGCCACCTATTCGCAAAGAAGACGGCACGTGGGCACGAAATGAATATGAAAAAGCTGAAGTATATGCATGTTACTTAGAGACTGTATT